CATGCACATACATATACATAAATGTCAAATATCTATTAATAATATACTTCCTTCAACAGCAAAATATCATGAAATAAAGCGTAAATACAGTAGTGATCCCACGGAAACTAATGGAAAACGGGACGGCCACCCCCGCAGCCAACGCCAAGAGGAGCTCGCTTCAAGAAATGCTCAACAGAAACTATAATCACAAAAAAGAGAAAAAAAAAGAATGAAAAAAGTCTAAAGTGATGAAGTGGGTTTCTTTTCCTTCGAAGATCATGATTCTAGAAATAAATACGCTGAAACAACAAACAAACAAAAATTTCCACTTGGGTGAGTTAGACATTAAAGAAAAAAAATCCGACATGACAACACAGGCGAGACGAAAATGAATCTATTAATGAAGACAATTTAGTACCAAGAAAAAGGCACTATTTAGCAGCCACCAACGATGATGCTTCTCTTCAGTATACACAACGTGCTTACATATACTGAGGTATGAGAAATATATTATGTATATATATATAAATTTCTGAATTATTAGTGCATCGAAAGCATGTAGATGCTTAGAAACTTTGTGGACCAGTTACCTTAATGGGACTAGATGTTTAATGGAGAAATACAGCATGATAATTTATACGGTTGATTCACGTATATCTGAACTCTGATCTAATGCTTTCATGAGAATTAATGTCGTTATTACAAAAAGTTAACCACACACAAGCAGACATGAAATTTTATTAATACAAACGGATAGGATTAATGTTATTTCATTTTCAACACACGGAAATCGCCTCATGTTGGTGACTGGTCCACAAGTCAATTTAAAGAAAGTCCATGTATGAAATAATCACTCTTAATTTGACAGAAATAGCTATATTCATAAATGATATATCTTAAATACATCTTCATGCTGTTTATTGAATTGATTGAAAATGTAACTCGAGAAGATTTGTTGCTAAACTGCATTTGTAAAAAAATATTTAGTATATAGTAAGAAGGCCACTGCATTTTCCTGCAGAATATATTTTTTCTTTTAAAATTACACAACAATAATATCAGATTTCTTAAAAATTCGTTTTTTCTTACAATAAACTGGTTTATCATTTTACAACGACAATATTTTGGCACATATACTGCACAGGGTACAGTCAATTTCATCACTTTTTTGTTTTGGCAAATAACCCAGGATTCTGCACATTGCAAATCATATTTTTTCCCAATACATATGTGGCTTAAACCAGTTCATTGCGAAATTATGCATTCAAAATTCCATCAAGATTAGGACTTCGGCTTCTGGTGATTTCTCGAATAAACTACAAAGTCCTGGAGAATTTGTGCTTGTGTCTTATACCTAACCCTTCGAGAGATCAATATATTTCTAATTTTTTACAGATATATTCCTTCGCTTCCCCTCACTCGATATAACAGTGGATAATATATATATTTTTCCAACACATTCAACAAAGGTGGAGATGATGCTGACTATAACAATATACATTCCATATGCGATGTCTTTATGTCAATGAATGAAACTCTTACAGGATACCTTTACTTGTAGAGGCAAAACGCGATACCACTATGGAAAAAATGGAAGAGATGGATTAAAAAGAAAGTATATTTCCTCTTTGTTGAACGAAAGAAAAAAGACAATGAGAGAGAGAGAGAGAGAGAGAGAGAGAGAGAAGAGAGAGAGAGAGAGAGAGAGAGAGAGAGAGAGAGAGAGAGAGAGAGAGAGAGAGAGAGAGAGAGGAGAGAGAGAAAAAAATTCCACACGATTCATACAAATAATAATAAAAAAAAATCAGACAAGACCCGAAAAGAAAGAAAGAAAAAACAAAAGACCAACGCCATCTTTTGCTAAAAAAAAAACAACAACACCCTCTCTTCCCTCCCCACACTGCTGCCATCGCCCGATCACCAATATTCCCCATCTTGGAGAGCCTGGAAGAAGCTGAAGACGACGCACGAGAAGTAGATCCACGTCATGGAGATGGCCAAGACGATGAAGCCGACGATGATGTTGGCCGCGTAGCCGTGGGAGTTGATGAGGACGAGGATCCCGCCGGAGAACGCCATCACCATGTTCAGGAAGGTGAAGAACACCCACGGCAGGAGGAGGAAGCGCCGTTTCTGGGAAAGACAACAAAGCGACGAGAATGGGGGTTGAGAGAAATGTCTGAGGGTGGTGGTGGTGGTTCCCTTGGCTCAGCTGACCCTACCGGGGGGAGTGTTGGTGTATTTCGGGGGGAGTAAAGGATGGCTGGTTGGTAATGTGATGAGGTGGAATTTGATATTTTAATTATAGTGGAACCATGTGATTTTTTTTTCACATAGTTCGGTGCGAATGATGATTTTTTTTAAATGTGGAACTGAGGATTTTTTCTTCTGCTCCTGCTTTGTGGTTCTCTCTTCATCGCTGTCCTCTCATTTCGCTTGAAGATTTAGGTTTTTTTTTCTTCCTTTTCTCTGTTCAGCGATATATGTCGGAGTGAGGATCCTATTTCAATTGAATGAGAATTTATTTTTTTTTTTCCTCATCATCATTGCTGTGGCCGAACTATTAAGAGTCTAGCCTCTCTGTAATATTTTTTCCAACATCTTCTTCCGCTCAGTGACTCTATTCCTATCTTCTCTCGTTCCATTTCCTTCTTCGTACTCCCCGAATCCTCACAATCCGCTTCTCCCACCTAGATCACCTACATTGTCACCGGTTCTCTCAGTCACTTCACACTTCTCTTCCCTCTATCTCTTCTCCCGTCACATTTGTCATCACTCTTTCTCTTCTCTTCACTCTCACTCCTTTCACGATGCTCAAATTGATTTGCTCTGTCCTTTCATCACACCCACTC